CCTAATAATAGCCTCCAGGCACAAGAGTAAGGATTCTTGACATTCTATTACAATATATTATAATACTTATTATCTTGTTATTATTGGTAATCTGTAACTGTACCTAATTATATTGTGAACTAAAGTTTATCATTAATATGTTTATGAAAAACTCAGCATATGTAGTGTTCAGGTCTATCTTCAATTTCAGGCATCCACTGAGGGTGTGTGAACATATTCCCCATGGATAAGGGCATGCTACTGTATACCAGTGTGTTAGAAGCTGTTACAAAGATTTGATTCCCTTCAATTCAGCTCAGCTCAGTAAAAGTTTAAAAAGCTCATGTTTATTATGTGTTAAAAATTGAGGATAAAAGAACAAACTGAAGTAAGACTATTATGACATGTACAGTTTTTTGATTTGTTTTTTTGTTTTGAAACAGGGTCTTGCTAGCTAATTCAGGGTGGTCTTGAACTCACTGTGTAAACCAGGCTGACCTCAAACTCATGGTGATCCTCCTGCCTCAGTCTCCGAAGGGCTGGGATTAAGGCATGTGCCACCATGCCCAGTTCTAATTCATAATTAATAAGAGAATCATCATTTAATAATGCCTATAATAACAGTGCCTATAATACACATATAAACTAGTAAGTGAAAATAGAGGGTAGTATATGTAATGGGAGTGTTTATGTGGAATCAAAATATTACAAGGAAATCATAATTCTGCTGAAGAGTGGGAGAAAAGGCATCATGGAAGAGTTTATATGGGAGGGAGATAATGCCCTGGACAGGAGTTTCAGAGATAACAAGTTTACCCTTCTAGAAAAGGATATTTCTTGCAAGTGGAGGGACAAGTCCAAAGGAATATAGGAGTGAAACAGCAGTGAATACAAGAAAATACCAGTAATTCAGTCTGGCAGAAACACAAAATATAAGAGGCTGTTTGGTGTTAGCTTAATACTGACCTAAATAAGGATGAAGATTGTTTTATCTTCTCTGTAAGGATATTGAAAGTCATTCAAGGATTTTAGAATGGGTGTAATAATATCCTATGTCCATTTGGAAAATAATTATGTAAGTGAAAATGTGCAAAATAGACTGGGAAGAGGGTAGGAAGCAAGCAAAGCAAGAAGAAAGGCAGAGGAATTAGTTCAGAGGTTTTGACAGTAATCCAGGCAACATATATGAGAGCCATAATTAAGGTAAGTAGTGTCCATGAAGAAAGAAAAGCACATGTAGCTGAAAGAATAAGGAAAACTGAGAATGTGTGGAGGGTGAGAATGAGAAGTGGAAATGTTAATGACAACTATTGACTTGGACACCCAGATGAATATAGGAAACAAAAGGTATTGTGATTTCCGTGAGGAGGCACAAGTGACATGGATATAGGATGAAGGGCTACTGTGGGAAGCAATAGGAGTTTGAAGTTTTAACAAAATGAAATAATTGGGGGTCTAGACTAGAGCATTAGATAGGCCATTCATATTGACATTTAAATCAGTGACACATGATAAGAATGAAAATCAGATACTAATGTCTGCATCGATTAAGGTAAAAGAACTGTGTATGCAGCTGGCAGGGAGACAGGAAGGAGTGAATGGAGGTATGAAGAAAGATGAGGAAAAAGTGTGGCATTATATACTAGGAATAGCTAAGTGATTCTCCATACATCTCCTAAACTCTTACTATAGGCTTAAAATTTAAATTTAAAGCATTTTCCCCACAATTATTTAAATGTCCAATATCTTAGGCCAAAAGTATATTTGATTGGAAATATCAGACAGGACAAAGTTTTTTGGAAAGATTTATTAGAACACTGGGAAATTTCCCATAGTTCTATATTTAGCCATTAGAACTTACACATATGAAAAGGCTACTCAGGGTATCCAAAATATTCCATCAGAACAATGTTGTGATCAATTCCCATTTAGTAAGGTACCTTTAAATGATTCTGACACAAAGTTGAAGATGTCAGATCAAACATTCTCACCTGCTAAATTACACACTATACCTCTTTTTAATTTATACCTCTTTAAATTTATCTGATACCTTAAAACAGTGAGGCCTTCCCTAAAGAATATAGGCTCTTCATTTTTCTGCTCTTTATGTAATATTCCACCTCAAATCAAACACATTTACATTAAACAAAATATAAACACAGCATTTATTTAAACTGGTAAGCATGTTAAATAAATTAAAAAATTAAAAGCCTATACAAATCCTTTTATTAGCATTTTGTTCTATTTTTATTATAATAAAATGAATTTATACTAAAAATCACCAAATGCCGATTTCCTTATATTTAATAGTTAATATTCTTACTGTCTTTATGACTTAATAAAAAGAAAATACATGTAATCTTTTGTTATATAAATTTAAAATGCTCTGAATGTAGTCTGGTACATCAAATTCATGAAAAGATTTTTAAAGTAGAAATGAATGGACAAACATTTTCTATTAATTTTCTTTCAACAAGTGAGTGACAGCCCCAGTGGGTACAAAAACCAAGTTATCTACTACAAGGAAAGCAAGCGCGTGCACGCGCGCACACACACACAAAAATCTCATGTAGTGGAAAGCAGAAACATTTTGGAAGCAGATAGATTGATTCCAACTGCTTGATCACATGTAAGCTGAATGACCTTTGACTGATGGCCCCTTTAGAATTATAACTATGATAGAAATTAAATATTAAGAATAGATAAGATTAAACACTAGGGATTTTTTTCTTCATTGCTTATTACATATATGTGTGTATGTGCACCAGAAATATACAGTGAGTAAATGAAAATTCAGACCTTGTAGCAATTAATGCAGGTCACAAGCATGGAAACAATTATGGAGTTTTATGAGAACATATAAGCATAAAGATAGCAATATCAAAATTAAAAGCCAAAGAAAAGAAATGCTATTTACTCAAATCTAATGGCAGCTTTTTCTATGTGAAACAATATGAATGCTAAAGAGACTGGAAGTAAATATATGTATACATTTTAACATGGTGCAGTATGGTAATTTTCAGAGTGTGACCTGGGAGATAGAATCATCTGGGAGTGACTATTTTGAATACAGATTCCTGTCTTACTTAAAATCTGTCTCTTTAGATGCTTGGGAGTCATACTTATATGTCCTCTGGTAAACAGAAGCAAGAATACTCCCTTCTTTCATTCTCATAAACATTTTAATGGCACATATTGGGAAGCTAGCACTGTACTTGGCCCATTACTAGGTTCTTTTCTTCTAAAATGACATATGTATATTAACAAAAGACTTGCTCAAAAATATCTGACTGTGAAGCCATTTTTCTCTTCTAAGAACTAAGGCAATTTGTACCACTTTGGGAAGCGTGGGACAAATTGTTCCTTTCCTGATTAGAGGTTATGATGTATTCTCTCAAACAAAACACTTCCCTAGCACTTTCTATGTTCACTAGGCACTGAAAGATATTCTAACTTAAAAAACTGAGCATAAAGTCTTAAATTTTGATTTAATTAATTAAAATGGTAATTCATATAAGACTAAGCTTAAATATGTACATGCTAACTTTAAAACTTAGCTTTTATCAGTAAAATTCATTTAGATTTTAGTAACTTTATTATAAAACTTCAAAAATCTGACATTGATATAATCATCACACACCATTCTTACCTATTTACCAAAAGCAAAACTTGAACTTTCCAACTATTACTCTAGTTCAAGTTTTTAAAAAATCATTTATCTCTGACCACCCTGCGAAAACTACTAACAATATACTATCTTATTTTACTTAGATTTTCAATAAATAAAAATAAAATATTTTTCCCAAAGTGGATCATACTCTACATGTTGGTTTGTAACTTGACTTTGTCACACGGTATTTTGCAGATCATTTCCAATTTCATAATGAAAATTTTCATCATGTTCTTAGTGACTGATTGTCACTTCATTATAACTAGTGTGCTATAATTTGTTCCACCCATCCCATATTATTGAATTTAACTCTTTCTTGTTTTAATACCTATTGTAAAGAGAAATGTGATAAACACCATTGTACATGCATATTTGCTCTTTTATTCTTAACATCATTAGTATAAATTCTTAGAGAATTACTAGGCCAAAGACTAAAAGGGGCATGTGTATGTGTGTTTTCTCATGTCCTGAAAAGTACAGGGATATTACTCTCTTTAATTCTTTGTTAATATGACAGATGAAAAATACAGTCTCTTTAACTTATATTCCTTGACTTTTAGCAAATTGAAAAAAATTTATGCCTAATTATTTATTGTTCATTTCTTCTTTCATGAATTGCTTTATTGTGCCTTTAGTCCTTTCTTATATTAAAAAGATTAACTCTATGTACTGTTTTGAAAATATCTTCACCAGTTTGTCCTTTGTCTTTGATTATGATTTTTTTCATACAGTAGTATTTGAAGTGTATGTTTTGAATCATCCACTATATCGACTCTTTCCTATATGACTTCTGCTTTTAAATTCTAGGGAAAAACTGTTTAGTATTTCTTTAAGATTATATTTAGCTATATACTCTGGCACAAAATATAAAGTACAGATGCAAGTATACATAAGAACTTAATTCATTCACTCATTTATTCATTCATGCATCTTCATTCTTTCATGCGTATTGAGTACATATATTAAATTGTTCTAAGTGATGATAAAGCAGTGAACAAGACTACTCAGGTTTCTGCTCTTGTTCAGTTACATTCCAAAAGGAATATGATGATTTAGCATATTATTTAATGTGGCATTTCAAATCAAAAGGAGAAGAATGGATTGATTATTCAATACACAATTCCGTTATAACTAGTTAATCATTAAGAAAAAAATTCATACTGAACATCCAGCATATTACAAATGGATTTAAAATCTGAATTTCAAAAAGATACTTGAAAAATAGGAAAAAAGCCTAAAGTGAGTGTTATATTTATTATATACCTTCTTAAACATGAAAACTAAAGCAATTTTGGAATTTTGGCAATTTGGGAAAATGACATCTTATTTTTTAAAATGGAATAGAACAAAGTAATTTTTGAACAATAATCTTTATTAGTGTGTTTTCAAAGGTACATATATAATCCTGAGCTACTGCATTGGTACATTTATCATTCACTCTTTGAAGTTTACATGTATTTTGTTCCAAACTCTCTGGTGAGTACATTTTTATACTAGTCAGGAACATAAATAATTTAAAATATTAGTCTTATCCTTGGAATCACCAATTAATTTACTCAAATCATCTCATTATCTAATTCTACTACATGAAAGACTGTAGAACATTAATTTTCCATTAACCAATTTCTTTTCAAAACTGCAAAGACAGGCAGTGCAAGAGCTGATTCCATAAATCCTAGCATATTCTTAGAAAACTATGTTGCTCTTTATCTTTGATGTTTTCTTGAATAAATTGGATAATTATCTGACCAGTTATATTTGAGAAGAATGGTAAGAGTACCTCTAATCTTAACATTTTAACTAGTGCAAAATGTCATAGGCTTCCTGCACATATAAGTGGCACATAATTATCCAAATAAGAAAAATTTACCATGATCTAATGAAAAGGAGCATAACTCAATGTAAGTATATCTTTGATTAAATGGGCAAGTAAAAATATGTTATGTGAAATCCTTCCTCTGATATCTATAAAGGAATACATACAGCTGATTAATATTAAATTCTGTAAATCCAGACCAGATTTACTTATAATTGACCAATGAAAAGACAAAAATGAAAGATAAAAACTCCTGTGATCATTGAGAAAAGACATTTATCCAACATCTCCAACAGTGGACAAATAAATATTTTCAGTCTCATATTTTAAATTACTATCAAAATATTGTATCTTTCTACAAACAACAAAAAAAACTAGCATACAGTATCTAGAAATGTTTCTCTGACAAGAATGTCAAGTTTTTGAAAGTACACTCAAATTTTTTTCCTGAATAAGGTCACTATAATCTTCGGTTAAACTTACTGTAAGCAGTTCAAGCAAAAATGAATATTGCTTAGATTATAAAGCAAGCAATTTTGATACTGTAATTAAAATATATGTATAAATGTGAAACTATTGTGGAACATTTCAAACACTTTTTGGGAACATTCACAGATCAGCAAGTAATGGAATAACTGATTTAAACAAAACAAATGTGATATAGTATGTAAGGTTTGGTGACAAATCCAAAAATATCTTTAATTGCTTTAAAAGAACATAAAAACACAGCTTTATCTTTCTGTGTTTGAAAATCCAGCAGCAAAACAAACTATTTGCATATAATGTAGTGCAATAAGCATTTATTTGAAAGAGATTCCCAAAGTCTTGAAACTATTATACATAAGCTAGAATGGAATCCATTAGAATAAATGATTTAAAGATGTCCAGAGTAGTTTATCAAGAACTGTTAGACACTCTCACCTGAATCACTGAATCGTAAGCAAGTTTATGTAAAACTGTGTTCTGGATAACTGACTCTTATGGCTCCCCAGTAACAAGCTCGGATAAGGCAGATCAAACCTAAGAAATAAGCAATGGCCCAAGAAATGTAGGTTGCATGAAATTGTCTTGCAAAATCTTGGGTGCCAACCTAAAACAAAAAGGAATTTAAAAAAATATTAAAAACTTTAAGAAAATATCTGGTTAGAGAACTTGTGCCAGCTTACATGTGATTTGTATTAAATACACCCCCAAACTGAAGCCACATAATCCCTATAAAATGTGAGTAGGTATATCTATTGACTGTAACTGAGGGATAACACTGCTACTTATATTAACTATAAATTTTATGAAGTAAATGAAAAAGCATGATAAAATACATTTTCTCAAAAAGGTATTAATCCATGTAACTCCTTACTATTGTGTGACACAGTATGGCATTGTTAATAATGTGGGACCAGGTATACTAACTGACAGCAAGAGCATGGAGAAAAGTTGGCAGCAAAACACATCAGTTCCTTCTTCTAGCATAATCCCCATGCCAATTCCTTAGATTCAGTCTTCTCTAAAAATAAGCCAATTTCATAGTGATAAAAGATTTCTGCTTTACATGAGTAAAAAGAAGAATGCTTTTTCAGGCTTCCATAGCTGAATGAGAGTTGCTTTGAAGATAAAATACTCCATGGCCATACAAGGTTGTTTCTGCCACTAACTAAAAACAAATGGGGTTTTGTTAAATGGATGGTAAATTCTTCATATTTAGAGCTTTGAAATGGGTTCAAAGACACCATTTTACCTTGATGAGTAAGCTCCATTAAAAACAGATCTATGGTTCTGATTGCCCATAATTTCTCAGAAGCTTCTAGGCTTGGGAGGCTAGAAAGATAGCCTTCTCAGGGGCCACTGAAGGTCATCCCAGGCCTCACCACTGACTACTGCTAACAAAGTTGAGAGAAAAGAATTCTATCAAGTAGTACTCACAGTTAATCCAACTCCAATGAAAATACTTATCATTCCAATGGTAATGTATGCACAGCAGCGCCTTCGTGGAAGTGCACTACCCACTGAAGAACTGCAAATTCATAACAGTAAAACAGAATATTAAACATTTGCATAAACTTTATCCATGTCATCTTTGTGAGCTCTATATGGCTTCAGTAACATTATAAATTTTGTTTCTTCAATTTAATAGATAACCTGCACAAAATGTTGTTTTCAATGAATGACAAGATCATAAATGATGAATTGGTGATATTATTATGGCTTTAAACAAATTTCAAGCCTTGGTTATTGACAATATCCACAAAAAACTACAATAGTCCCTGATGATCTTCCAAGATATTTCTAGAAAAATCTATTATGAAATGGAAAATCAGTTCTACCTTACAAATAGCAGTTGCTCTTTACAGTTATAGCAGTTTATGGTTAGTGTATGTGATGATTAATTTTGATTTTCAATTTGATTGGCTGCCGAGATGCCTAGGAGATAAATGAAGATTAGTGGGTGTGGCTGGTTGGGTCATGGAGGCACAATCTGAGGACATCTGTTCCCTAGTCCCTTCCTCTCAGGCTTCTTCCCCTCCTCTCTGCTTTCTGGGTGCCATTACTAGAGCAGTTTCCTCCTGACATGCCTTCCCTCCATGATGTTCTGGCCGGAAGCCAGTCAACCATGGATGGAGTGAAACCTCTGAAACTGTGAGGTACGTATAACTTCTCCTTTTAGCTGTTGGTTTTAGGTATTTTGTCCCAGCAACAGGAAAGCTGACCAATAAGGTATAGAAAATTTGGAAAATGGAGCAAAGAATAAAAAGGAAAAGGAAAATTAGCTGTAATTCTACCATCATAAAATAGTTGCTCAACACTGGCATATTTTCCTCCTGCCATTTTTTAAAATTTACCAATGTAAAGCATGAAAGTCTTCCCGTATCATTAAGTATTCTCAAATTGTAATTAATTCTGTATCATTGTACACTTAAAAGTGTTTTCACAATTACCAATGATGCCAGCTAGGCTTCCTTTTAAAGGATTTTATTTTTCATCATTTTCTTTACTTTTTAAAAACTAGGATTATTAAGTTAAAGGGCTATACTTTTCAAGTGTTTTGATATGTAAAATTGTAAAAAAGCCTCTAGAAAATTCATAAAAGCATATACTGCTATTGTATTCCTCCAGTGAAATTCCAAATACAATCATGTTTAGCTGTCTCCATTTCTAATTTTAGTAATTTTCAAAATGATGCAAGTAAAGCAAAGATTAAATAGCCAAAGTAGCACTATTTTCTTGCCTAACTGTACATACATTTATTAACACATACCGTATACCAGGAAGTGTTAGTTATTGCCTTTGTAGAGAGTGCCAAAATTGTGCCTAACATATTGCATTCTCTCAAGGAATGTCTATTGAATATGAAATACAGAAAACATCACTTGGCATAATTTAGAAATGTGTCATTCCAAAGAGGTTAATTTTGCATTAAATATTTCCTTTTATTATCCAACTAATTTTTAAAAATTGGTGATATCTACTTCAAATATATATTTTCCAGAATACTTTAGCCCAAAGATAAGTATCTGGATGACTTAAGGGGCTCATCATTAATTACTGTCTTGAACAGACTGCTATTTAGAATTAATCAGGGCATGTAAAATTCATTGCTTTATGCTATATTTAGCCTTTACACTTATTTTGGTTTTAATTCTTATGCATTCACTTCATGTATTTTCCTGTCTTGTACCTCATAGCTGCTTCTTACTTTTCATTACTACTTGTGTATCTGTCTCTGGCAGTCTCTACCATATGTAAGAAACCAACTGAGCTTATTAGAATTATATATTAAATAAATCAACAGTTCTAAGTGAATATTAGAACATCTTTTCTATGAGCCAAGATAATAACTTGAGTATTTTAATTTCAATATGTGAATTCTGCTTAGATAACTCTGCCATTTTTTCATCACTCAGTCAGTACTTCTAAGAAGTCTTCCTAGAAAATAAAGAACCTACTGCTACTCTACAACCCAAATGCCATCTCAGCACAGGGGTAGGACAAGAAGCACTTACTGCGTGAATAATAAAATCTCTTAACCATTTAACACATTATGTGCTGTCTATATGCCATATGTAGGATTGTTTTGCGTTTGTTAAAATTTTGTGTGTTCTGAACTTTGTTTCTGTCATTTGCATTTTTTGTGGTACTAGGGGTTGAACCTTTATTCATCAAACCCTACATAAGACTTCTCTACTGGTATGTGACCATTTAGTTCATTCATTTTCATGACATTCATTCATTATATGAATATAATACAGTTTACTCATTCTTCTTGTTGATGGGCATTCAGATTATTTTCTTAATATTTTGCTGTTTGTTATATCAGTGCTGCTTTGAATACTCTTTTATGTCTCTTCACTTATATATGCAAGAATTTCTCAAACACCTAGAAACAGAAATGCTGAGTTGTATCATAGACAAATCTTTAGTACATACCAAATTTATATCTCCAACAAAACTGTGTAAGAGCTATCATTGTTCCATTGCAAATTCTCATTAACATTTCAATATTTTTATTGTTCTAATGTTTAAAACTTTTATGGATAAGGATGGTATTTTATTGCAGTATAAATCTGCATAGCCCTGGTTTCTAGCAAGGTTGAACATCTCTTCAATTGCTCTTTGGCTGTTCTTTTTCTTTTTCTGTTAACTAATTGTTCACGTCTACTGCCCTTTTGTCTGGAGCTATCTTTTGCTTTCTAATTCACAGATTTGTATTATCTGAATACTAATCCAGGCAGCTCTATATACTCCATGCATCTTTCTATAATTTTTTTTTTTTGAGACAAGATACTGCTTTGTAATTCAGGCTGGGCTTGAACTAACTATGTAGTCCAGGCTGGCCTCAAACTCACAGCAATTCTCCTGCTTCAGCCTTGCAATTGCTGGGATTACAGACATGTGCCACCATACCCGAGACTTATAAACTGTCCTTTTAAAATTTTTAATAATATCTTTTCATGAAGTATTTCTTTTTTAAAAATCAACGAGATGTAATTCTAGTATATCTAGTACATCTAGTCAAAATGATCAACTTCTTTAAAGTATGTGCTTTCTTACACCTAATCTAGGAAAAAAACCTTTCTACCTCTATCATAAAAATATTGTTCCTTTAGAAGTATTTTAAAAATTGCCTTTTATATTTATGTCTTGATCTACAAGAATATAGTCTTTGTAATTTCCAATCTTTATTTTACATATATTGAAGTTATATTGTTGGATGCTCACAAGTTCAGAATTTATATTTATGCTGAAGTGGCCATAATAATACTGTTTTTATACTAAAGAGTATGAGATAAAGCATGTACTAAAATCCTGTAACAGAGAAACCAGAGTACAGTAGTTTAAAGAAATGTTTATTTCTCTAGCATATAAATTCCAAGGTAAATGTATGGCCCAGGTTTGGTAAACAGCTCTCTTCTGTGACTGATTAGCATTGTCAGACTCAACATAACCCGTAAGATTCCTGCTGCAGTTGCCTTTTTCAACCAACTGGACAAGGGGAAAGAAAACCAAAGCAATTCTGCCTCTAAGGAGTGTGTCAGGAAGCTGTACTCATCACTTTTGTTCACCTTCCATTGGTCCTAAACCTACACTTAGAGCTACCACCAGGGGTGGTTAGGAATGCTGTCTCTGGCTGGACTGCCAGTAAAATTGGGATTCTATTACTACAACGAAGAAGAAAACAATAGTTTCTACTATTTAAACTGATATTATTGTTACTATTCTAGTGTTGTTTTGTGTTTACGTGGTATATCCTTTATTTTAGTTAGTGTTTCTTGGTTGTATCTTTCTCCATCCTCTTCCTCCATCCTATTCCATTCTGTTCCGTTTTGTGTCTCATATTTTATGTGTCTCTTCTTCAGATTTCACATAGATATTCTTAAATCGAGTCTGATAATTTCTGGTAAACCTTATTGGCTTGATTAATCTGATAGATATGGATTATTTCTCCATCTTTCCTAGACCTCTTTTGGATTGACTATGTTTCTTTTATTTCTCCTTCTACTCATCACTTTTATTCCTTTTAAGATATATTTAAAATTTTAACATGCATATCTTTTCAAAATCAAAGCCATCTAATAAGTCTATCTTTATAGTAAATTCAAAGATTTTAAGTACTAAACTCCAAACAGTCCACTCCCATCCAGTATTTCAACACTATTGTACTTAGTGTCTTCAAATTTGCTAGCATTAACATTTTTTCATTAAGTTTATTGGTACATTTTAGGTATACAATAATTACATTCATCATTGGGAATTTGTACCTTTATATGATGTTTCTTGGTTCTTATTTTTTCCCCATTCCCATGCCCTCCCTTCACCCCCTCCATCCTTCCCTATTTACAAAGACTGTTTCCATTTTTTCCTTTTCTCATATTTTTTCTTTTCCCTTCTTTCCTTTCCCCTACCACTTCCACTTCCCCTACTCCTTTAGACCTTTTCTTCCTATTTCACATTATCAATTATACATTGATAGCATTAACATTTTTGATACTGTTTTTGCTACTTTGTGCAACCAATGCTCTTGATCAATGTTTATGATTTTCTGATCTACCTTATCTTGTTACAAAGATTTCTTGTGGAATATTTTCCATCTTTGTTAGTTCATCTGTTAGCAGTTTTTCTTAAAGGACGGTATCAAGATGGCAGATTTTCTGAGTTTTGTTTTTTGTTGGTTTGTTGGCTTATTTTGTATTTTAAAATATATTTTATTATTCTACGATATAGTTTAGACAGATTATAATACCAGTTTGACGGTTATTTTCTCAGTATTTTTAAATATTTCTAAACTTGGGTCCTGGCTTCCATTTTTGCTGTTGAGATGTTTACTAATATAACTTATCTTCTTCTTTTTCCATTAAGTTTATTGGTACATTTTAGGTATACAATACAGTTACATTCATCATTGGGATCTTGTACCTTTACATGATGTATCTTGGGTCTTATTTTTTCCCCATTCCCCTGCCTTCCCTTCACCCCACCCCCCTTCCCTATTTACAAAGACTTTGTTTCCATTTTTTT